AATTAGTTTCAGTCGCTAGAATCAAGACGCGTATTATAATTTTACGTCTCTCTGTTGTTCTTAGTTGTAGCTATAAAATGTTATTTTATTTAAATGTCTTATCGAATAAACAAACATACGCATACACACACACACACACACACAAACAAATCGACAGTAGGTTCGAGCGCGTCGCAACACAGAGTCAAAACATTGTAACATGTAGATTAAATGTCCGGGCATTGCCGGACGTGTCTTGCTTCTTGTTTGTGCGTACATATGTATATACAACACCATTGTGGTGAGTCTTATACAGTTAGAAAACTGGTTTTCGCCTCCTCCTGCGTCAAGCCGGTGCTGTTCATATGATCGAAACCGTCTTGCGGATCGGTACATTTTACTTTCCCTTTATGTTTATCTACTAAAGTGCCGTCTCTCGGCTATTATTTTATAATCCTTGACAAAATACGAGAGAGTGGTTGCCTCCGCCCGCCCGCCCTCCCTCCCTCTCGGCCCATCGTCAATTTTTGCTGGCGTTATCTCTGCCAGTCAATTCCTACATCTCCACTTCCTCTGTTTCTGAACGGCATTAATCATCTGCCTGGGGTAACCTGCGCTGTTCAGCTATCGAACTCGGGTTATCTTTCGAAAAGCGTTTCAGCTTAGGCACTCGTGTGAAGCCCACTTGACGTAACGCAGTTGATTGGTGCCACGCTGTATATATACGTACACACGACGTGCGCGAGCATCTAGTTACCGCCCCGACGAAGTAGATTCCTCCGGACCATTTGAGGGAGACTCCAGACCCCGAGGTTAATATCAAGGCAACGCATTGCTTGACCCGAATTTACCGCGTCACCGAATTTGTGAACGTAGTGTGCTTCTCTGTCCCTCTCTTTGCCTCCCTTTCTCCTTCCTCCCTATCCCTCCCCCCCCCCTCTCTCTCTCTCTCTCTCTCTCTCTCTCTCTGTCCTATCTCTGCCACTGTCTTCGGCTCGCATTCGCGCCTCCATTGTGCGCCGTATTTAACGCCAAATGCGATTTGATTCTGCATTCTGTTCGCCGCGTATGAAGGATGTCGCATTCATCGCGAGAATACGGTACGAAAATGAGATGACTTTCTTGCGCTTGCCGTTTAAACGAGAACTGCTCCGAGACAAAGAGAGTCTGCACATTAATTGCGTTATTAATTTGTACATAATTTGCGCTTTAAGGGGACTAGAGAGTCAGATTGCGGAAAAATCGTGCTTGTTTTTCATAATATTTTGTGACGAACTGAATAAATGTGCAAGAATGAAAATTTTAGGTATATTTATACAACATATGAAGAGTAGAACAATTTTGTTTATTAACAAATACTCATATAAATATACCATATATATAGTTGAAATATACTCTTCTTTTTTTTTTTTTCAAGTTGTCGTTTTTGCAGTAATATCTCGGCTCTCGATGGTTCGATTAGAACGAATTTTAGCTAGAAATCTTGAGGAGGCTCATCATTATCCGGTGAACCACTACAAAAAAGAATCGAACAAAATTAACAAAATGGCAGCTATTATTAGGAAAAAATCCAAATTTTTCAGTTCCTTTACAATAAAAAAATTAATATCTCGAAATGAAATATTTTGACGTAATTGTCCATGGTTCATCTAAGAGCCAGATGAACAAATATTATTGCTTTAAAATTTCAAATCGATACGAGAGGTCAGTTTCGGAGAAATCATTGCAAAAAGTTGAACGATAAAATTTCGTGAAAAACGCGTTTAAAATTTAAGTGGACGTATATTTATATGAGTATTTGCTAATAAACAAAATTTTTCTCCTCTTCATATGTTATATAATATAATCTATATCTAAAGTTTTTATTCTTGCACATTTATTCAGTTCGTCACAAAATATTATGAAAAACAAGCACGATTTTTCAGTGATCTGACCCTCCAGTCCCCTTAATAAAAGCGACAGTAACGCCGCGGCCGCCATAATTACGCAGTGATATAATATTGGAGCGCTGCTAATATACCCACACGGTGATGCTTATTTTATTCATTCCCGCGTCTATGTTTGCTCGCGACCGTTTCGAGTTCCTTCTTTCTCGCGGAGCAACTCGCGGATAATTTCAACGTATGAATCGCACATAATCCGTCTCCGTTATCGAGCAATGTGCGTTTGTTACCGGCTATTTTTGGATTCTTTGACTTTGTGTGTCAAAATTCGCGGTGGTATTCGTTCGTCCAAAGACAAATCCAGCCCTCGCGTTCTCTCGCATCGCGCTCACGGCATTCATGCTGCTCGCTGTCAGGATCGTTTCACGACGCGACTGAAACAAAGGAATACGGAAAGGGGTGTGTTTTCGAGATGAAAACACACTTTCGCCGAATTACAGTGCCACGTTTGAATATACGTTTTGGAACTATGCCAAAACATTTTGAAAAGGAAGCAGCATGAACGAATGTCGTGAATTTTCTGCGTTACACCCGCGCACATACACATGCACACACGTACATCCTTGCCTGTCGTTCGGCGGCACACAAAAGGCTTTAAGGCAATGATTGTAGCAGGTAGTAGTACGTAGCACGGAAAGCTTCTGGGAGGCTTGGTTTCCAGAGCGTTCCAGGTGATATGCAATCGCTGTGTAAACGCACGTTCGAACGACAACGAATAAAGTGCGGAGTACACGCGCGCGATACGCGCGCAATTCTACCACTGGAAATTTCAGAGTCGCGCTGTGTGCGCGAGCTCTGTATTTCTCATTTGGAATATAACAATCGCCATGCGAAAAACGCGTTTTTTATCTCAAGATACGGAAAACACTGCGTTGAACTGTGCGAGCGAATAAAGGAACAAAGAAGGCTCGAGACGTATTAATTTGTTCGAAGCTTAATTTGATTCGGCGATTCGCGCATTGTACACAGCATTGATTACTCTTCACGCCGCGGAAACAAAGTCCGTGGTCAAGTCCAAAAGAGGTCGGAGAGATTTACATTTGATTGAAGATTGTTCTCAGACTGTTTCTTGAACTCTTGAACAAGCGGGATGAAATTGGAACTCTTGTTCGTGAATCCGCGACATCCGTAAAAAATGCCTCAAGGTTGGCCCCCCCTCCCCCCTCCCCCGGGACGAAAACTGTCGCAGACGTACATTTAATCGGCTTCTCCATTCGCACGAAAGCGGATTACGAAGAAACCAGGACGGGGAATCGCGTCAATTCGCGGCAAAAAGAATGAAACCATTTCATGAGAGGAGAGGGTCTACCTATATTTTAGGAATTTGAAGACGGCCCGACCTATCGATCTTCGGACCATTACTCCTTTGGTCTGCGCGAAAATTGTCAACCATGAATTTTTGGCGAATATCTTAGAAAATATCTCGTCTTTGTTCGTGCCGTCTTAAGTGCGTTGAACTGGCTCACTTTCTCTCTTTCTCTCTCTCTCTCTCTCTCTCTCTCTCTCTTTCTCTCTGTCAATTTTTATCGTCTGTGCCAGCGAGTAGTTCCAAATATAAACTCCTTCGTGAATGCGTCTGTGCTATCCATTCTCAGTCGCCGGCTGCGGGCGGAGAGTTTATTTTCTAGTTTCGTGACACGTGTACGCGCGAATACCGTCGTCTTTCGGAAAAGTTTTCGGCAGTCTCGGCAAGCTTTTTATTCGGTATTCGGACGAATACAGTGGCCGCCGATAAGTCAACTTCCGGATGCCATCGACGCGGGTCGATCGTAGCCGCAGTGTAAATCCGATGGATTGCGCAAGTCGCTAATTACGACTTTTGAAAGTGCATTAAAAAAGAAGCGTCGTGCAGTAGTGCGAGAAATAGCGGCGTTTATTTGGCCAATTAACAGAGGAACATTTCGCGCGCTGGGCACGACGGGCGCGTTGGGCAAATTGTGTTTTTTCGAGCGTAAAGTTGCGCGAAAAAAATTCGCATGAAAAAAAAGTAGATATTTCTAGTCGCATTATTCCCGTGTGCTCGTATAAATAGAACGCGGTTAAGAATACGTCCAAATCAATGCAGTTCAATGCTGATTAAATAAAGCGCTGCGATTTGCGACACGTAGCGAGAGTGACTCGCCGTAGAGTGAGTGCCTTCCCTTCAAGTTTTTTCGCGTTTGTCGCGGAACACGAACATGTCGAAATTCTTTCGCAAGTTGATCTTCTGCGGTTGTGCGTCGCGCTCCTCGGGCCCCGACGGCCTCTCGATCGTCGTGGACGAGTCGAGCGTCGATGATCCGCCGAAATTCGCGGAGCTGTTGAATTATGACGCGCAGCCCGACGACGTGGGAAGGCATTTTGATCTGTCGACTATAAAATTCATCGACGACGAGGAAGCTGGCGAGGAAGATGCGTCCCGCACTAAGAACGGTAGCCGACGATCGATCCGACTTTTCTTTTTTTATAGGAAAGTAGGTTGATACGCGGTATAGCTTCGCGTTATTCCCCGTCAAGGGACGATATAAATAACTGGCAGGCAAAAAATTACGAGGACAATACGGGGGGGGAGGGGGAGGGGGCTTTACGCGCGCAGCGCGTACAAAGTTTCGCAGTGTGCACGGGCCGCGTATCGTCGCTGCAAGGGCTGAACTCGCGCGGAAAAGCATGCGGTTTCGCCGCATGCTTTTTGAGACGTACACGGCCGTGAACGTTGCAACAGGGGAACGCTCGAATATATGAAGGGAAAACGAAACAGAAAGAAAAAGATAAAAAACGAACGTTCGTTTCGGCGTTCGTTTTATCTCTCGTGTAGAGAAGAAGAAGAAGAAGAAGAAGAAGGAAAAGTCCCGGGATTAAGGAAATATTAAATTAACGGAAACACACGGCGGCGTAGCTCTGGGGAGGGTAAATGAGAACGGCAGTTCAGGAAATTTGTCAGGCTCACGAGATGCGCTTCATTTATTTCTGCTCTCCTCTCTCGCCGTTACAGCCGTCGCCGTCGCTATTAGCGATAGCCGTGGCCCGGTAATGGGCCCTCTGACGCACGCTAAATACGCGATAAATTTGCCTAATTAATCCTTCGTGAATTCTCGACAGAAAAGCTGGACGGGCCAAACTCGGAGCCGATCAAAGACGCCTGGGTTATCGCCGTCGAAAGGTGAGATAATGAGCGTACCCGGCTAAGGTGGTGGAAACGCCCCCCCCCCCACCCCCCACCCGCTGCCTCCTCTTCGCCCATTCTCCCTCCGAGTGTGTTGTAGCGTGCGCAATTTGCGCGATACAACGGGCCGGGTGCGGACGATAAAAGGCGAGAGAGAGAGAGAGAGAGAGAGAGACAGATCTAATATCCCGCTTGTAGTAAATACATTCCTGCCAGGACGGAATCATATATCGATTAAACGTCATATAAAAGGCGGTAATGTCCAGCGGACGAATGTGTTTTTGATCGAACGGGAGAATGCGTCATCTAAATGTCACGCGAATCGCTCGTCGCAAACACGCGTTCTCCAATCGAGCCGATAATGACAGTCCGTGATGAGATATCGCGAAATCAGGAAGTTCATTTTCCACAAGTCCTTTTTTCTCTTCATTATATTACTCCTCGTCGTTCGAAATATTGATCTGGAGGAGGGAGCGTTATCTTGTGCGGTGTCTAGGGCGCGGCGGTGTCGACAGGTACAGGGCGCTTGCAGCTGCGATATCAATAATACAATGCGACTCGGTTTCGTTGAAAAACGTACAAAGTGCCTCTCGTAGATACATCGCACGCGCGAGTACCCTCGCTCTTGCGTTCGTTACCTTTTTTCCGCACACGGATGAAGGATTCATCCCCTTTAGTCGTTGGAATGTGCGAACCACTGTCTCGGCCGTTTTTTCCTCTGAAAAAAATTGCGTCCATTAAATTCCTTCGTCCCGATCCTCCGCACCGCCGAAAATTACTACCTGTCGAGGAAACATTTTTTTTTTATTAATAGGGACGGGATAGTTGCGCGCGCTTGTCGCGGTCGCGAGATTAGATTTCACAAAAAAAGATTCCGATCGCTTCCGAGTTGCAATGGACGGAGCATCACGCTGTTCCGAGACAGATTGAAACGGCGAATGGTAACGTTAGATTCGCGTTAGTGTGCGATGAGAACGACGAGTTATCGTGACTCACCTTTAGTGAGTCTTGTTCGCCTTCCCGTGGATAAACGCACGGCGATGGCTTTTCAACCAGCGACCATTTTTTCTGCTCACAGCAAAGCGAGGGAGAGGCTACAGAAACTGACGGCACTGAAGAAGATCAAGCCGCGCGACATCGAGGCTATTTTACACCAGCAGGTACGTAGAGCGGCGAACGAGGACATGTGATGAATGAAATCGCGTCCGTTAATATTGCGATTCGAACGAGCCGACGAGGATCCCACGGATCCAGACGCGATCTCTCTCGTACTTTGCGACTCCTCTCACATCGCGTCGAGAACGAAAGAACTCACCTTTTATATTCCAGAGCTGGATTTAGATTCACCGTCGCCCTACCACCGTCGTCCGAAATGATGTTTCTCTCTCTCTCTCTCTCTCTCTCTCTCTCTCTCTCTCTCTCTCTCTCTCTTTCTCTCTCTGTCGGTGAAAAAGAACAGCTCATCGATTCACAATCAGCATTCGAGACCTTCGAGCGGCCTCGATCGCCAGCGACACAAGTCGCATTCTCGAAACTCGACCGCTCGCAAATAGAGCGATAGCTCATCTCCAGCAGAGCTAGAGAGACGCCTCCGTCGGAGGACATTGTGTTCGTCGCGCCGCACTCATTTGTTCTCCGATGATTTTTATTCCTCCCTCGCGCGGCTGCGGCAGCCGCGCGTCGGAAATGCTGAACGCGAGTCCGCGCGGCGCGACGGTGCGTCGCGTGCAAATGAATCGATCGGCCGCCAGCGAAATCGTTACGAGGAGGCTGCTTATGAGATGTGGAATGCAAAGCAAACGAGCGGAGTGGTGAGAGGTGTAAAGCCGCAATGATTATGCTCGGCCTTGCGCCTTCGTACGTATACGTAGAACGAGCGCGGCTCATTCGCGCCTTCGCGTCTTCCGAAACTCTGGCCCCGGCCCCGGCCCCGATTACGCAACAACGAGTTCCAGCGGCCGCCGATGACGCCCCCGCGCGCGCTTTCAGACGGCCCGGCAGAGGCGTCGTGTCATCATCGCCGAGAGGGAATTACGCGGAAAGAATAGTACGTGCCGGAGAGGAAAAAGAGAGGAACGAAGAGAGGCGCCGCGCCTCTCAACATTCGCGGCGCGTGAAGCTGCTCCGAAGCGAGGTATCGATACCCGATACCGCTTCGATTTCGTCGAGTCGGCTGTCGAGGAGCGCGAGTATCGGTGTTATCCGACACTTTGTTCGAAAGCGCCGATATACTCTTAGCGAAACCTCGCTTGACTTTGACCAACGTTTGCGGGACCGGCGCGATCGGATAACGATCGCGCTTTGGCGCTGCCGTCGAACGGGCAGGATTTTGCTCTCTCGCGACACCGCGAGAGATCATTGATTTCTCAGCGTGGCGTGTATCGAAGAATCTCTCCGGTTCCGCGCCTCCGCGGAGAGAAGAGTTTCGTACATTGTTTGTTATTTACCGCGTTTCGAGCGTGATCTTTTGTGAGTAGTATGCGGGATCGTATCGTTTCGCGTGATTGTGACGTGGCATGTGGGTTTAAAATCTTTAATCCCGAGCAGACTGCAGGCGTACACGCGTACTCGCGTACTCGCGCGCATATCGCTAGAAGATGTCGATCCGCGCCGTTAACGGCGGACTTTCCTCGATGTCTCGATATCGTTCCCAATGCCATTGCGGCGCGCGCCGCTTGTTGCCGCTGTTGAACAAGCGGGCGTGTCGCGCCTTTTTTCTCTCTCGTGAACATTAATACGTAATTCATTTAAATAGATGGGGCGGAGATAGCGGCTCGTCTCTCGCGGATTAACTCGCCGGCGCGGGCGATGGCGGTGTCGTTCGGGAAATTGTCCGGCGGTCATTTCGCCGCGTCAATTTTTTCCCAACCTCCCGAGCCTTGGGAGTACCGACGGTGCTGAACGAGAACGCTTAAAAAGGTTCAGTTTGATGAGACCTCGTCTGAAAACGAGTGTCGCACGTAATCTAGGCTTACACGGCCGATGACGTGCAGGAGGAGGAGGAGGTCTACCGGTCTGCCGAAAGAGGAGGAAGGAGGGAGAAGGTCGCGTTCGTTGTTTCTCATCGAAATATCGCGCATTCTCTTAAAACTGATTTCACGCGTTAAGAAAGGCCGTTGGCGGTTTAAAGGCCAAATTAATACCGGCGCTATTGTGTATACTTGAGAAAAGCTATTGGTTAGAGTAATTCACGAGAAGAAGAGTCGTCAGAGTATTCTTTTTTTTTTTCGCGAAGATTGCGACATTGTGACGTTGTCCTCCCATTCAGTTATCGCGTGTTTATCGTCGGACACCGCTCGGTCGACCGGTTTCAAACTTTATTTATGCAACATGACATGTAATGTTGATGATTAATTTCTTTTATCCTGTTGTCACGCTTGTGACAAATCAATCCCCATCGGGCTGAGGAGGAGGGCCCGGTTGGTACGGATACCTTAAAATTAACATAAAGCGACACGGTCGCGCGCGCGCGCGCGTTGCGGATACTTGGGATTCGCCGCGCGTCACGCGTTGAAGGTGAAAATAAATGCGGCGAGTGCGAGTCCTTTTTCTTTTCTTTTTCATGTTGCGCAGAAATGCGGCAGCACGTGTGACACGAAAATGAAGTGAAACTGTGTGTGTGTTCGACTTTTGCCGTTATTCATAAAGCTCAATTGAATATACCGTAGTACCGTCACGTGATCGCGCGGTGTAGCTTTCCATTCGATTAAATTTTTAATCAGCGTGACCGAATAAAAATGCAACCGCAGTGGGATTTACCATTCACTCTGGGTGTAGCTTTTTCGTAAAATTTATTTATCGAACGTGACAAGTGCATATCGCGTGCCGCGACGGATGTCTCCTCGCCGTGAAATAGTTAATTTATAAATTCATTCCTTTCAAGTCCAGATAATTGTTCGTCATTTAGCGCGCCATTTCTGATGAATGTTTCAGATAAACGAAGAGTTGGCGTCCACGAGCGAAGAGTCGGCTCCGAAAGATCTGACGAATGACCAAATTACGTTTACTTTGGCGGACAAGTAAGTGTGTTACATTGTTTTTGTATTTCTATTATTAACAATGCTTCATTGGATGAAGCTGTTATTGCGCGTAACACAATAACGCGAAACGCAGCGGTATACAGGTAGCGGAAATGATTATTATCACCGCATTATTCGAGATATAACCGGTTGTGGTTTTACGTACGTGTGTGTGTGTGTGTGTGTGTGTGTGTGTGTGTGTGTGTGTGTGGAATCATCGTTTTTAAACTTCCACTTAAACGACATCATTATTTTTTCACGGCTCGCGTGCTTCAGTTAGAGATTAGGGATAATTTGCGTCGAGGGTATCGTGGGACGATGTTGCTTCACACAGACGTCATGTTCGTAATTAATTTCCGAAGACTTAATATCTCCCGGGGATGTTCCTGTCAAAGCGTAATAAACCTCCAGTGCCTGTTGTAATCGGGAAAATACACGCAATACCAATAGGAGCCATCGTTACGAACCGGATGTGACAAATTGCGATTGTCGCGATTGATATCCTTTCACAATGCAGGCGTGTTTGCGCGCGGCTCATTTTTATTTTCGAGACTGTACAATAGCGAAAGTCCCGGAGAGAGAGATAGAGAGAGAGAGAGAGAGAGAGAGAGAGAGAGAGAGAGAGAGAGAGAGAGAGCATTCCGTTTTATAGTTATCACTTATCGGCGGCGGCTTCATTAATTCGTTTTGGCTTTGATTGTTTTAGGGAATTGGGGACGAATGCTTTCTCCACGAAACTTAGCAACGGTACGATTCCCAAGGGACTAGGGAAAGAGGCAGACATCCGAGTGGAAAACACCTCGCAGGAGCGGAAGGACGCTTTGGAGAAACAACACAGCTATCCCGAAGAGCCGAATCTCTTGGTGAGTAGCGCCAAAACTTTTCTCCTTTCTGCCATTTTTTTCTGAAACATGGGTATGTGGATAATTATCTGCGTACTTAATTGTTTACGTAACAGTTACATTCTTATATCAACGATGCATCGGGACGGTATGTCGGCATTGATAGCGCTTCGCTTACATAAGCACATCCGTTGGATTTCTTGAGCAATTATTAAACAGTTTCCCGGAATAGCAAATCGGTATTGGTAGTTTATATCGTATTTAATTACCGACGTCGAGCACGTTAATAGGAGTATGTTCAAGCTACTGTTATTTATGTTCTATAGGACGTTTCCCCGAATGAACGGTCGCGAATAATCGCGCTATTTCTTCTTTATAATTATTTTCTGATGCGTTTGTCCGTGTTTGAATTATTATTAAGTCATTGACTTAAGTCATCCCTTAATTGAAAATCGAGTCCTCTCACTAAGGAGATTGCGCGCCCGCGTTTTCACTCGAGTCTCGAAGAAAGAATGTAACGAAGCTGTATCTCGTCCGCTTATAATTTAAGTTCGATTCATCCAGGCAGAATTTTCATTCGTGAGCCAGTTACAGTTGCAAAGATACTTAAAGTGAAACGTTGCAAAGTTGCGAGCGAGACGACGTCTAATTAAATTTTCATTAAGAAGAAATTTGTGCTGCAAATTGATCAAAGGGTGCACATTGGCGAGACAGAGTGTGTCTCCCTCTATCGGACGTTCTGCACATTACTTCCGCTAAAAACAGAAAATCGCACTTATTTGTCCGTACAGCAACCGGTGCAGAGCGGGAGAATCGGCGAACGTCGCGCAAGCAGCCCTTTCCAAAATGGTCGGACGGAAGTGCTGATCGGCGAGCCGGAGGGCGGTCCGAGATCGCCGCGGGGGTCGACATCTTCGGCGGTGAACGACGGCAATTTCCTGAATCCACCGGATGAGCGAGACTATCCCGAACCAATTTGCAGGTAAGCACATCGGACTGTAACTTGGAGCGAGCCAACTTTTTACGTCTCGTGTCCCTTGAGTCGTTTAATCGGCTTTTGCCGTCATTGTAACATCGTCCCTTGCACGTTCTATCGGTCGCGTCCTGTTCTATCAGGTCAGACACTTGTGTCACTTCTGTCCGCTAAACGATGGACAGCCGGGTGGCATATCTTTATAACCTGATGTAAAAGTTTTTATTGCTCCTGGCAGTATCGCTCGTTAATTACCGTCGTCGTTCCGAGCGCGTAATTAATGACCAATATCACGCTAGGAGCATGTAACAGGATGATTGAGTGGGTCTTGGCGCGAGAGCGCGAGTAGGTCGACAAAATATGATTTCGCGCGCGCGCACACATATATTTTAACAGCTCAAAAGCTCGGGTATTTGAATCTTAATTCGCGACTTGATGCCGCTCGCTGCGGAGCGTATCGTCGAGAGACAATTATTCACAACGAAAAGACGATATTATTTGTGTTACTCGAGAGTTTTTAAGTCCGTGTTCTGCTTTACCGCGACGGGATAAATTCAGCCGACGTCCGTTGGATGTCGCCATCAACATACTTAGCGCGATCTTTTAAAGTCAGTCAGAACTCTCTCAGTTACCGAGAGATACGAAGGCGCTGCACTGCGCAAAGTGGTGTGTTCCACTTCTCTCCACTTTTCAGCCTTTTATATTTTTTCATATTGTTTACAACTCCATGCTCCATTAGTGCGCGCTATCAGTTAGCATTAACATAGAAATTCTCAAGCAAGCTGCATTAGAAAAAAGAAAAAGATCTCATCGCGCAGTGAGTGCTTGATCAGTTACAGATGATTGCACGCCGCTATTCTCGATTCGTGAGAATCCAATTTGAACAGTTTATACGAGCAGGCGTTTAATATAGCGCTAAAACACGAATTAATATACGGTTTGGATTTCTCGATCGGTCGATGAGATGAGAAGTACGAACGAATGGGCTAATCTAAAATGCAGCGCAGGAGAGAGCGCGACCAAGTCCGCCCGCGCAATCAAGGTGAGATCGAACGGTAGAGAGCGCGTCTCTGCGTCGATGGATCAAATAAGCTCTCTCTCTCTCTCTCTCTCTCTCTCCCCCCTCTCTCTCTCCCCCTCCCTCTCTCCCCCCCCCTCTCTCTCTCTCTCTCTCTCTCTCTCTTAAACAGTAGCCCGCTGAAATCCTCGCTGCGCGACTCGAGCACCAAGCGAGAAGTGCAGGCCGACTCACTCGACAGAGTCACTTCGCCGGTATTTCACGCTCGTGACACACCCACCTGAGTCGGTGTGAGTGCAGCCTAAACAATGCGTTTTCCAGTCCTCGGTATGCAGCGTCCCGACAGCGAACTACCTCCTGATCCCCCCTTTCTCTCTTCTTTTCTTCTCTCGCTGGATTTCGCGACCTCGCTCCTCCATTCTTCATCTCCTTCTCTCTCTCTCTCTTTCTCTCTCTCTCTCTATCTCTCTCTCTCTCTCTCTCTCCCCCCCCTCCTCGAGCCTCTCTCAGCTTTCTCTTTTCTTTTTTTTCTTTATTTCTTTCCTTCTTTCTGTCCATCCTCTCTTCCGTGCGTTCTAAGATGGTACAAGAGGGATGCGCGGTGTGAGGACTTGAGGCGGTGGAGAGAGAGACTTGAAGTGCGACGGCTCGGCACGAGTAGTTGGTACTCGGTGCTCGTAGCTTCTCCAATTCCCCCCCAAGCGAGGAAATCTTTCTTATCACACCACGAAAATTTTTTGCGCGCGCGTTATTTATGCGCGCTCAAAACGCATTCTTCTCGCCCCCACCAAGAGTGTGTCCTTTCTCACACGATGTTTCAGGAATTAACGCTAACGACGACACGACGGCACGAGCTAGCGCGCTTTCGTGTTCCTCCTCCTCCTCCTCCTCCTCTTCCTGCTTCTCTTCATCTTCTGCTTCGTATTCCCGTTTCGGGCGCGAGCTCTCAAAATGTAATCCTTCGCGAATTCTGCCGCGCAGCCAGCTTACTATTGTCTCGTCTTGCGCCTTCTCGCAACATCGCCCGTTGTGTGTGATCTCCCCGTCTCGTTCCCTAATTTAATAAACAGAAACGCGACGGCTGTCTCGTCACTGGTCCAGAAACAGTCGCAGCGGGACAGTTCAAACTTGACGATAGTTGGTCGTCGGACGATGACGCAACGGACGAGGTCGTCGGTTGAACAATAATTAACGCGCGAATTATTAACGGCGCGAGGAAAATTTAATGGTGTCGTAAGGAGACGCATCGAGGATGGGAGGACGGTTCGGCGAGGAAATCACCGTCAACTTATTCATGAGTTCGCGGAGTGAATCGCTTCAGGTGCGAATGAATGCGCGCTATTGACACTGGGCCACTTTTAAGAGAGCCACTTTTATGAGAGCTCGTCACATGAATGGTCCGGAAATGAATGCTTTCGCCGAGGATAGTCACTTGCGAAAATGTCCGGCGACGCAAGACGCGCTCGCGAGCTCGCCTGCAAGGACCTTTGAGGGAAATTGGTATCGCCCTTCTCTCTCTCTCTCTCTCTCTCTCTCTCTCTCTCTCTCTCTCTCTCTCTCTCTCTCTCTCTCTCTCTCTCTCTCTCTTTCTCTCTGTCTTTGGTCTTTTCTCGAGGGGTCGTAATCGAGAGGGCATCGCGCCCTGAGCGCTCCAGTTTCTCCGCTTCAAAGCTAAAAGGTTGCGTTTTATGCACAGCGTGTCCCAGAAGCTCGCGTAGTTATTGCGGCTGGCGCATTTTTTCACACACGTAGAGAATGCCATTTCGGACACGCGGACCGGTTTTTCATCGGTACACAACGTCGTAGCTTCCCGGAGCTGTGTCGCGTTCCGCCGAGCCAAGTATTTATGCCACCGTCTAATCGCTTTGCTCTTGAAAACAGGAAATATCGGAATATTGATTGTTATCTGACAATGACAGGGAAAAACTAGGGAGAAACGACAGCGCCGCTCCGTAGGTGAACGTCCGCTAAAGTACCGCACCGGCTTCAGCGTCTCGCGCGTCTCGTAATCTTATGTCCGTTATCCCAGTCAACGATATCGATTCGCTCCTTTGCAATCGATACCGTCCGTCCCCGGCAACTGCATTTATACTTACGCGTGTCCGGTCTCGGAACGGTGGCATTTTTTCACGTCGCAGCGGCGTGAATTTGCATCGGACAGCTCTCGAGCGATGACACGATCGCCTTAAAAGTACGACCGTACCGTGCATTCAGCTCAGAGCGAACCTTCGCCGACGATGTGTCGCGTTACATCGAGTTATCATACGTACATCGAGAGCAAATGCTGCTTCTTTTTCTTCGTCCATCTGCTTGGACTAGAGAGGAAAGCATTTTTCGAACGAGATACATTTCAAACAATTATATCTTCGGAGAGAACGATTTATTCACATGGAATTCACATGGTTGCGTGCGAAGATTTGCACGCGGATGAGCCGTCCGCCGTCGGCTGTTTTTTCCGGGCCGCGAAAAAACGGATGACAATTTGTGCGGGAACGTGCCAGGCTCGCGGTCAGTCTGCACAACGGCACCCCGGTGTTTCCGGCGAGAGGGAGAACGCGATTTCAAGCCGCATGATTGAACGTTCCTCCTCGGTGCAACCATAGCCGCGGCGTCGGCTCTCGTTATAGCCCGCGCTCTCCGCGGCGGCGTCGGCTCTGCTGTGTGTGACACAGCTACGGAATACCGATTGCTCACTCTCCCATGGCGTTTCCTGTTCCGACGCCACGTATCCCGCTTTCAAAACGACAAAACAGAAAACATGCAGAAGGAGGAAGAGGATAGCGATGCGCGTGTGGACGGACGAAGAGGGAAAGAGAGAGAGGGAGGGAGGGAGGGGGGGGGACGGCGAGGGAAGGTGAAACAGCGAGAGAGAGAGAGAGGATCGGTGGGAGAAGGCAGGGAGGAAGGAGATGGCGGTGGACGAGAGAGGAGGGTATAGGTGGTGCAATGTGGATGACAAGGATCAGCGATGTTGTATATGTGTACCGACGACACGCCTGCTGCCCATTGTTCACGTCTAACGCATTATGCGCATCATTCATGCCCTTTTACGCCGAGCCTCGCGGTGCGCCAAGTTCACGTTAACTCTCTGACGCTGATCTGGAGTCAGGTAGATTCTACGCGAAGGGAGGAGATTCCTTACGCGGGAAAGAGGAACGAAAGAAATTTTACTACTCATCCGTGAGATTTCCCGTTTTTACGCGAGGAAATTTCTCCCTTCCCTTTCTCTTTCTCTCTCTCTCTCTCTCTCTCTCTCTCTCTCTCTCTCTCTCCCTCCCTCCCTCCCTCCCTCCCTCCCTCCCTCCCTCCCTCCCTCCCTCCCTCTTTTTCTCTCTTTCCCTCCTTCCCTCCTCTGAGCGGAAGAATTATCGACGAAAAACGCTAATTGCACATATCGTTCACGGTTCTTTTGCGCATCGTACATATGTACGCGCCGCCGTGACTTTCCTCTCTCTCTCTCTCTCTCTTGCGCGCGCGCGCGCACACACGCTCGCATTTTTGCGCATTACGCTCCAATTTTTTGCATCTCTGAAGAAGGCAATAACTCCGTGTGAGTTCCTCCGGCCGCTGTGTGCCGCTCTTCTGGAAGAGAGATCGACTCGCGCGATTTATGGCGATTTAGGTCGGTTGCACGGATAACCGAGAGAGAGAGAGAGAGAGAGAGAGAGATGCGCGTTTCTTTAAATATTGCGCTGTTAAAGTAGAACTGCGCACGATGAGCACGCGGAATAGGAGTTAGCGCAGCGCGCGCGCACGTTTAAACAGGGTAATCCCAGGGTATGTAATCTTTCTTTAATTACGAGCACGCAGCGGCGCACGGTGATGCGCACGCTTGCCGTTCCTCCCTGACCCACTATCGATATAATGACAGAAGTAACATGCAATCACTCCGTACGTTGACAGGGAACAGCCGACATGTTAAATATCGCGAAACGAGAGGCTGCCGTGAAACCATTATTACAGAAGTGTGGAAAACACGACGCGAGAGTAC